TCGTATTACTTATTACTTGTGTTTATGAACTATATAAAGTAGTCTTTTTTATTTTCATAACTTTATTTTCTTAAGATATATACTTATTTTAATAAAACTAATTTTATTTCAAATAATATGTTCGTGACTAAGATTCAAAAAATGCCATTTATTGTGATTTAAAATTATTAAATCAATATCCTAATAGATATCATATCTTATCTATTTCATACATTGTCAATATATTTTTATAGTGACAAATTGGATAAAACATTGTATGTATTTCCTAATCTTCATTTTATATACAAATTGAATAATAATTTATTAGAGATTACAATATACTCAAGATATTTATCAGAAAGCAGATATCGCGCCATGAAGTTCATCTGTTCTATGGACATACGTTTCTGCAGCATGGATGATGCGCACTTTATGAATGGTGTGGAGAATGAAAATAAAAAGTAGTGTAAGTGTCACGTAAATAAATGCCACGTGTATATAGATCCCGTTATTTTATCGGCATGCTCGAGTTTGTTTCTTGTTTAGAAGAAAAATAGAAAAAGAAAAAAAATTATACTGTAGCTAAGTGTGTGAAACAGAGAGAGAGAGAGAGAGAGACATACAGGCAGTCAGACAGATAGACAGATAGACAGACAGAAAAAAGTAGATACATAGGTAGATAGATAGATAGATAGATAGATAGAGAAATAAGACAGAAGAAATTGAAGAAAAAGATGGTATAGGTAAGCAAAAGAGAAGATAATCATTTAGCAGCTTTCATTCATATAGCAAATAATAGTTTATTACATACTTTTGTTTTAAATCGATTTATAATTATTCTTCATTCTTGAAAGTTACTTTTAATTTGATACAATATTTCAATTTCTGTATTTTTTTTAAACTTGAAATAATATTTTCAATTAGGACTAAAGATTTGATCATTTGAATTGTATGTGTTCTTTTCAAATACGTGTACGTAGTAAATAATTAAACAGTGCTAACTAATAGTAACACAATACATCGAAATAGTTATTTATTCTATTAAACAGACGGGAAGTATAGATATTTTAAACGTTATTAATAAGTACCATACATTTTAAATTGAAATACAGAAAGCATTTTATATTAATTTTATTATTTAAACATTATATTAAATAAAATATATTATATAAAAATAAAAAAAGGAAAATGACTCAAGTAAAATGTTGTGGTAAATAAAAAATTAATAAATTGTTTTTGAAATAAAAAAAGGTTCAAAAATAATTAAATTCACAAGTACATTAAATTGTATAAAAATTAATTATAGAATTACTTTTCAGTTATTTTAAAATTTATTTTTTCTGTTATTTTGTACATTATTTGATACTAACTTGTTCTTAAAAAAATAAAGTTATATTCCCATATATACATTTTTTACCCTATTTGGGTAAAAGTTTTTATTAACTAGAATCAGAAAATTGCAATTTCACGAAAGAATAAAAAGTAAAAGAAATGAAATATATATATATATATATATATATATATATAAAGAGAGAGAGAGAGTGAGAGAGAGAGAGAGAGAGAGAGAGAGAGAGAGAGAGAGAGAGAGATTGAAGGAGATAAATTTAGGAAAATGAAATACATTAATTCCATCAGAAATTATTTAATGGATATTTAGTTAAAACGGTTTTTTTTATTTATATTATGTATATTATAAAAATAATTAATACTGTGAGTTAATATTAGACAGATATATGTGTAATATAACAAATTTCCAACATTTTTTAGTATTTATACCTATTTCATTGTTCTGATTTGGTTTATTTAATTACCGATTTCATAAATGTCTCTGATGTATATTTTTTTGAATCGTTAAACTTATATAACCAACGAAATTATGAAATATAGTTATTAAAATATTTCTATAGCTATTCAAATATTTCTAAAGAAATTAGAGATTATTTTAAGCATATTATTTAATATAAAATATAAAATAAAAACATCTAAGGCTTTTTAAAATTTCATAGAAATACTAGATATGCCAACGAATGAGTTAACTCCGAAAACAGAGATAATCAAAACAATAAAAGCAGAAAAAATATAAGAGATAGATTAAAAAATAAATAAATAATTAAATATATATATATATATATATATATATATATATATATATACATAGGGGAAAGGGGAAGAAGAGAGAGAGAGAGAGAATGTCATTACGTTTATTTACTGTAATCGGAGAAGCTTTATCGCACCAAACACCGGTTATGGCCGTCATAAACCTACCCACAATCGCTTAAGTAAGCGGCCCGACGCAAGGATTTGGCGAGTGCCTAGGATACAATTTTTTTCATAACTCATTTTTCTTTCACTTTTTTCTTTCGTAGCGATTTTCTCCTACTTCGGAAAATCTAATTTATGTCCCTCGTGCACTTATTCTGTGCTTTGCTATGTATGACCAACTTTTTCTCCCTCTTCATCCTAACACCTGATAACCCGATCCCGGTGATATTTCTTCGTTTGTGTATGCTCTCTCTTACAAATTATTATTTTCTGTGTCGGCTTTTTGCCCGCATACGATAAAGGTGTAGGATATTGCACAAGCTTGCCCAGGCTTTTGTTGTTATTTTTCTTTTCATCTCCCTCTCTCTCTCTCGTTTACATTTTAATTTTTTCAATCCCTCGTTTTTTTCTTACTTCTGATTTATTTAATTTACTTGCAGCGCACTTCTGCTTTTTTCTTTTCATTCATGTAGCTTGTAGGCAGTGGCTGATTGAATTCAGAAGGCCACTATATACATATCTGTACTCATATTTGTCTCAAGTACGGTAAGAAAAGGGGGCGGTGGAAGGTTTTTAAAGACTGATTGCTGTAAAAATGTATATGTTAAAAAAAGACAATATAATTATTATATTATCAATATATATCTATGAGACCGTCTAAAGATATATTGATAATTGATAATCTACTTCAAACCATAATATTAAAAAAAATTTTATAATGTAAATTATTATACATTAAAAATTGAATAATAAGTTCATAATATTTTAAGTTATTGCTAAATTAGTCATAATATTTTTATGCATCTTTAGAAAGATATTTTTACTATATATTATGAACTGCAAACTTAATAATGTACTACTTATAATCAATATTACAATATTTCTCATGCAAATATAAATAAAAATTTATTTTTAGAGATTTATAATTTATAGTTTAAATAATACCCTATAATGATTATAATACATATAAAGAAAAAACGTAAAAATTAAAAATACTTATGTACATACTACAATGTATAATGTTAACTTTTTATCATCTTATACAATAAATCATTAATTACATCATTAATTAGATTAAAATTCGTTTTTGTAATAATGTACAATGACGAAAAGAGGTATGGCAACAGGCGTATGAATAGTGTACACGTGAAGACTTTATATTTAAAAAGTAGCATAGGAGGATGTATCTTAATAGAAAGTTGGATGTGTACAATGCTCAACGTGCTAACTATTAACTCAGAAGCTAAGATTTTGATGGTATACGCAGTTGTTCTGCTGGTTCGTAATCAACCTTTGTCTTTCTACCCAATGGATTGCTTAAACATGGTAGTTAATTTTCGAAAGGATGTCTCAAGAGTTAAGAATACCTGCTTGCATATCAATAAAACGTTACCAAAAATCGAATCTGCGGGTTCAAACTTCAAAATCACTTATACACACGGAAAACAGTGAATTGCTTCTTATCAGTAATCAAAATCGCGTAGTGTTATACTAGCAGATGCAGATATAGAATTAGATTAATGTGAAAGGTATTCTATTCGTTCCAACAGGAATTTAAACTTAATAAACCATGTAATATTAAATTAATTTGATTTTCTATGCAATATTCTTAAAAACCAACATTCCAATGCTTCAAAATTTTTATTTTATTTTTGAATGTATAGAAATAAATGATTAGAATGGAATAAAAATTTGAAATAAATGGAATATAAATGTTAAATAGGATTCTACATGGCAATAAATTAATTTACATATGTATGTAAATATCTAAAATACATCAAATTTATTTTAATATCAATAAAACTCATTAAGTATTTTGTTTATCAATACTTATATGTTTCGATTATATAATATAAATGTAAAATTAAACTTCATATTTTTAACGATTTTCTATTGAAATATAACTTAATATATTGATAAATAAAATATTCTATATACTATAATATATATCTTTAGTTATAATTTTAAGAAAATTCTTTAGTAATATTTAAACAAAAGTAAAGCGATGATTTATATGATTTATATGTGGTTTACACAATGTAACTTTATATAGTGAAGTGATTTATTTAGAGAATAATAACACGTGAAAATTCGTGCATAAAAGCCACTGATTTATAGATACATGAGAATTGAATGACAAATAGATGATAAAACGAAGTTTGAAATATACATGTTGATTCTTTTTAAGTTGCTGAAAGTAAATAATTTTACTCGCTTTCCTCTCAACTTTATATTAAATTACAATATTCATAAATATTTAATCATAAATATAATTTTTTTAAAAGCAGCGCATTCATTAGGAATTGTTAAATTAATATGATTTTAAAAAATTGTAAGTTTAATAAATTACTATTCTATGGAATAAATTTAGTAGACACTAAAAAACTTCCCGACGGCAGTATTTTTTTACGAAACCGAATATATATATATATTTATATAAGTTTTTTCTTCAATAAAATTTAGTAATTGTTAATCTATAAACTCATTAAAATGTTTAAATTATACTTTTATTATAAATTATCCCGTATTTAAGTATAAGGCCTTTGATATAACGTAAATACGATACAAAAATTTCAGAGACCACTTTTTCGAAAATGGTCGATAGTTTAATTTATATTTTTTTTGAATGTGAATAATAATAATGTGTATAAATAATTTACGATTAAATATTCGCGCAAATTCAGAACACTGTATGGAAAACGAAGATTAATGTACACTTAGTGCAACTTTTCACTTGAGCCAACAGTCACAAGACTAACCTGTGTCATTAGCCGATCAGCACCGGTGCCCTCTTCGTCCTTGAACACGATGTCAGTATTGTAGTTCGGTACCAGGTCCCGAAAGCGCTTATCGTTTCTCGATACTCGCCCTTCGCTTAGTCCACTTGCTGGTAGGGTGTTTTCACTGACGTTGGGCACGTGCTGTTTGAAGACGAGGGGAGTAAGCTTGCGCAATATCGGTCGGCGACCCCCACCTCGTCCAGGACCGCAAGTCAGAGTTGGACCGGTAAGTGCGCCCAGGAGGATAGCCGCGAGCAGTGCTCCAGCTCCGCGTTTTCGCACCTCTCCTGGTAGCATCCTCTCGACGCTACGACGACGACGACGAGCGCCCCAGCCTCAGCAATCTACCACCGGCCGAGCTGCATGCTCGCCACCGGCCGAGCATCACCGACAATCCACCAAACACCGGTACCGAGCCCGATATCACTACTCAGCGAACTTTTTGCACTCGCACTTTAACCCCTTTTAGCTCTAAGTTTCGAGCCTTCAACCACGTTTCTACTCTTTGGTTTTCTCAACGGCAACCTCGATACGCCGGCTACGAATCGACGACTGAGACAAGGTCGTCGGCCACGCGAATGCGTCTCGTTCTTGGGGAACGTGGTCGAGTGTTAGATTGACCAGGGGTGGGGAGGGTAAGGGGTGTCGGAGAGAGAAAGACGAATGATGTGCGAAAGCTTTTCCGGAACTGGCGAATACAAAGATGGGCTTTCGGAGTACCGACTCCCCCCTTCCCTGTCATTCAAACTCCAGCTACGGGGGTGGCATAGGGGAGGCTGTGTACGCCATTGGTCGTTGGGCGGATCCTCACTCGGCGTGAGCGTCGACAGGTGCAATCGCAGCGACTGGTGGGGGTCACAGCCGTAGTCAGGGGCAAGCATAACTCGAACCAATCTCTGAGCTCGCCGCCGGCGCGCTTCGTGACCGATTCGCGGCTCTCACTTTCCGCGATTATTGAGTGATTATTCAATATTACTATCGATCCCCTGAAGACTGCCGGCTTTTACACTGTTGATCTTTGAGCGCTTCTTGGATCGTCTATCGGTTCACAACTAACTCTAATCGAATCCTTAAGCACTCCATTTTTCGCTGCCTCGTGGCCTAATCGAGGTCTGTAATTTTAATTTTTTTTTATTTGCAATTAAGATTAAATTAATTTATAAATTTATGACAAATGATTACCTACTTTTTTAATACTTATGTCGTATCGGGTATTAACGTTAATTTGATCATCAATAAATAAAATTTTTTTATTTAAAAATTTTCTTTACATAAATCTTGCTACAATTTCTACGTCTACTGAACATATATATTATGTATTCTATATCATGTACGTTCTTAAAAACAATGGTTCTCAATTCAACCGATAGATTTTATAAAATGTTAACAATTAATATATATTTTATACTTTCGAATTTTTTTCGTGATACATAGTATCATATCATTTTTTAAATTTCTATAATCTATCATCCTAAATAAAAATTCATTATATAAATATATATATATATAATATAATATAATATAATCTTTCTGCAATTATTTTTATGTAAAAGTTAAACAAATAACATATTATTTTATCGTTATTATCATTTAGGCTGATATACTGATGACAACGAATCGTGATGATATGTCTACATTACCTAATAACTCTAAATATCATTCAACAATAACACATATATTTAGAGTTATCTATACCGTATTTTTATTATAATGTTATTATAATAAAAATACGGTATAGATAACTATAAATATCAGCGTTATAAAAATTTTTAGTTTTATTTTGAATATTTAATATATAATACATGCCTAATAAAGTTTACAATATACGAAAAAATTTTTATTAAAACGTAATTTAATAATTAAAATAATAGCAATAAAATTATTTTATAATTTATGATGATTATTTTTTATTTTTATGAACAACTATATTAATTAAATATTAATATAATACATTCATTTAAGAATAATTAAATATTAATGTAACAATTAAGAATAAACGTAACGCAATACAACATAAAATAAAAATAAATAAATAGTAAGTATTAATTATTCAAAATGCGGCTTATAGGATTTCATTAATGCAATAAATAAATTTAGCAATGAGAAAACTGACTGAAGTTTAAGAAATAAAAATTTATCAAGATAAAATATTTACTTAAAAACAAAAAGCTTAAGTACAGCACATTTATTTGAAACGGTATGTGACATATGTACTCAAACCGTGAAATTAAATCGCTTATCCATACTCTAAACTAATAAAAACTAATTAATAATGAATGTATAAATCAAGAGAATGATTTATTATAAGTTATACATTCAACATATATGATACATAAGTGTTAAATACTTTATAAACATTTTTTCAATTGGATCATAAAAATCAAAGTAATAATATCGTGAATAAAATTATGTAGTATAATTTATGATTTGAATAAAATCAACAAAATAAATGTAAATATATTATAATAGGTTTGTTCTTATAAATTGCTTTATTTTTGTTGCGATTCATAAATTAACGTGCCTTTACATGGTGCATGATTATACATCATAGGTCTATGTATAATTACTGATAAGTATCATGAAAATAAATGGTTTTTTTATTTCTACAAGTTTAATGTGCAATGAAATGCAAAAAACTGCAGGATAAAGAAAAAATAACAATCAAAGACTGGTTGACGAGCAATTTCATTATTATAAAATTAAGTAAATATATGTAATAAACATTTGTGTTACAAATTTTGATATATAATACATGTATATACTAATGCAAAGACAATAATAATTCGAGTATTAACTGCATAAATTCTTACGTATGGCAGTTCATTTTATTGAATTAATTAGTCATTACCAGTATAATTGTAGTGATGAATAATATACATAATATTTCAATTATATACAGAATATGAAATTGATGATAATTTTCAGAAAATAATTATTATTTTTTGTATTCTAACTACATATAAGTTTGTTAAAATTGGATATAATTTAAAATTAAAAAACAGCAATTTGTACACAAAATTAACCTAAGTGCTTAAATATTTTATTTTAATTTTTAAATATAAATAAAGTTTAATTTATAGGATTTTAAATCATGATTTAATTTTGAAAATAAAACAAAAATTAATTATAACAAAAAAGTCAATTTTATTAGTTTTCTGTTCTTTGTGAACAGTGTATATTTACCTAAATTCAGAAAAATAATATATTAAATCATTACGTATAATTGAATTTATATAGTTATTTTAACAAAATAAATTCTAATAATAAAAAATATTATTTTATATTATATTTAATGATTTTTACAAAATAAAAATGTATTGTAATTATATAACATAAACCAAAATCGAATTATGAATTATAAATGCATTTAAATGCTTCAGAGTATGATTTATTAGTTAATTTTTAATGCACGTGCACATACAAAAAATATATTTAATGTATTTATTCAATATTTATAACTTAAAATTAATAGTAGTTATATTGATAATTAACTTTTAGACTCCCTATAAAATAAAATATATTTTATTTCAAGACAAAAACATAATATATAAATAATCAAACATCTTTTGGCAACCGAATCGAGGCACACACTTATTTGAGAATACAACTTCTGCCATTGAAATGATATATGATTCTATACTGCAGTTATGTTCATTTACTAACGGATAGCCGACAAAGAAAAGGCGATCAATGCTACTTCTGGCTATATTCAAAAGTGCTTACAGTTCGGGTTGTCCCAGCTAAATGCATGCATATGAACAATTTCTGTAGATATATATAAAAAAATCTATTAAATTTTAAATATCTTATAACCAAATATTTCTTATTTACATATTATGATTTAACATTTTTTTTTGTTAATTAATTGATAGATTGGTTGATCAATACTCTCACATCGAATATCTATAATATAAAATCAAAATCATTATTTATATTAATTAAAATTTACATATTCTTTACTATACATGGTCTTTAAAATTTTTACTTTTTTTATTATTTCTCACAATGTTTTTCGTTGCGTTTTTCAAATTTAAATAAATTGTGTAGATCATAAGATTACGATATTTTATATTATTGATTTCAAATGAAAATTTCCTCGGTATGTTAATAATTATGTAGAATTAAAATATTTTTTGTATTTATATTGTTTTGTATTGTTTTGTAAACTTGTAATTAAAAACAAATATTTTAATTTTTTTAATTAAAACATCATTTTACTGACTTAACTCAAATATTACAATTAGTAATTTATTAAATTTTTATTTCTGACGAATCTTATTTACTTAATTTTATCATTTTTGCTTGAAAGGAATATCATTTTATAATTTTAAACAATGCGTATCTTACTGATTTATTATTTCATTTAAATATATAACAGATTTATGAGATTTTAAATGCGGTTTTTTATAAGTATATTAATAAATATATTAATACATACCAATATATTCACATAGATTGTTTTGGGCATATTAGTCAGTCAACGTCAAATAATAAACGTTCCTAGAAAATGTGTGTCAATTATGCATTATCATGTGAAAACTCAATAATGACATCGACGATCAGAGCGTCAACCATAATAATATAAAGAAAATTATCAAAATTAAAAGTATAATGCGAAAATCAATGTTTTAAAGTTTTAAAGTTTAAAGTTTGTGTTTATTTGTATAAATACAGTTTGCTATAATTAGATTCATGTTTTAAATTTTAATCTGAACCAATTTTTTTTATTTCGGATTTTCTTATTTAATAGGTTACACTTATAGGTAATTTTTTGTTTAATTTTTTTTCTGGACATTTATTAAAAGTGAGTAATTCATAACTTTTTATAATCTGATTGATTTTCTTGTTGATAATTTTTTAGTTGGATTATTTTAAATAAATCAGTTATTACTATGAAAATTATTTAAATTATATAATATGTATTGTATAAGAATAGTATTTAATAAGAAATAGTATTTAATTTGTAACTCTTACATTTTATTTTACAATACTTCTTTAATAACTTCACGAAGGCTTAAGTTTGTTGTTCTGCAAGTAGATATTTATAAATATTTTTACATATTAACAAGAAGTGAAATATATTCGTAATATATTCATTCGTTTCTATTTTGTTTTAATACATTTTTTGTTTTGTAAAAAATATATGACGAATAATAAAATAAAATTCCTTTCGAATAGACAGAACAAAGTTTACAGACAAAGAGCGTAACTGAATCAATAATACGTAGATATATTTCAATTTGGAAAAACAAAATATTAATATTATTTGTTTTATTTTTACCTAATTAACTAACTTTTGAATATTTTTATTGAAGATTTCTATTTCATATAACTTTGTTAAATTTTTAATAAACTTTGATGTATTCATTTGTTTGATTTCAAAATTCCAAAGATATTTTATAATCATATGATTTAAATGATTTTCTAATGTTTCGTTTGTTAATAAGTGCCCCAAAAACTGCTCTAAAGTATTAAATAATATTAATTTATAAAATACGACTTTTTTACAATAATTAATAACTGTGTTATTTATTATAAATTGTTTTGTTATAATAATTATTAATTATATTTAATTATAATAGTTTTTAATTATATCTGTCATATCGATGGAAGTAAATCAATTTCCATATAAAC